AATAAAAGCATATATAATACATATATATAGAAAACTATATATAGATTTTTATATACATGCCGCATTATGGCATTAAGTTGTAGGTTTTGCAACTGCATGAACAACCGTTGCATATCGTTCAATTAATAACGCAAATCCCTTACAGCCCAGTTACCAAGGCTGCCAACGTTAATTAATGTGCTCGACGCCAATTTAATGCACTCGCTGCCCGCTTGGCGGTATGATTAATGTTTAATTAAATTTCCAACATTTGCATCCAAAAACATTAATGCAACAACAAACAAAATAATAATAGTGAAAAAAAAAAGGAATGAATAAAGAGAAGAATGGGGAAAAATTGTTCGAACAAGCGACGTCAGGATTACATCATAATTAATCGTAGTCATTATTTATAACGAGATATCACCCAATGAGCTTTTATATATGTATGTATGTAGACGCCGTTGAAGTCGTATATGTGTAGCTTAATAAGTGCGTTTAAAAGATCATAAGATATTTAACTATGCATATAAAGTTTAAAGGAAATATGTGATTTATGAGCGATAAGTTAAAAGATTATTTTATTTATGTAGCTCTCCGTATTTTATAGCTATCAGTTAATTATTTGGTATATGTATTTATTTTATTTATTTACATATTTAATTTTACCATTTTTTTTTTAAACAGCTATCTGTCTATCTGTAAATTACATTGTATTTTTATTAAAAATTTAAAAAAAAAAAATCTTTAAAAAAAAATTTTTTAAACATTATTGCACTTATATTATTATTTTATTCATAACATTTTTGGGTAACATATTTATCAATCTAATTCATAAATAAATCATTAATATACCCCATTATAGAAGTACTTTAAAATAATATGATTGCAAAATTCGAAATATATTTCTTAGCATTTTATTATTCTTTAGGAATATCCTTTTGTTTCTATTGCTCGTGTTAAAATTGAAAGGACCAAATTGGCTTGCAACACGAAAATTGCAATTGTTTAATCAAATGATTAGCTTCTGTAGCATTAATTAGTATTATCTTGTTTATATATTATTAAGCATATATTCCCATTTCATATATTATATTATATTTATCATTGGCCCTCACACATTTTGCCCTTTGTATAGAGCACAGTTGATGGCTTTCAACTTTAGCAACTTTAATTAAACACATTATATCCAACAGTTCTTTGTTTAACTTGAACTCGTCAGTTGTTCACGTAAATTAAGCACGTTTATTTTAGTTAAGCTGTTGTTGTTGTCTGGAACTGACAGCCAGTCAATTTGGTTTGAGAATGAAACGTTAAGATAGAGAAACGTGAACATTATTTACACATGTTGGCCAAATTGAATTAAACGACTCTGTTTTGATTTATGCAATTGCAATTTATCCAGCTAGTAAACCAGTTAGCTGAATGCAACAATCTGATAATTGGTAATTGTAAACCATTATGCAAAAGTCTTGCGGCCAGCTGCTGCTCTTCATTAAAATCATTAAATAATTGAAATTGTCGACGACGTGCACTTCGAAATTAATATTGCCTCAAATGGCTGGACGAAGGCAGAAAATCCGAATGCAGTGGAACTACTAAGAGTATTCCAGTGTAGTAAAAGTGGCAAAGCAAACGAATAGTAAATATCTTCCGTTATTTTTATGCATTTATTTAACATGCACATAAAATATACTTGTTATATAAAATATATAATAATAATATGGGTTTTAATAGATGAAAAAAANATATACAATAGGTATATCTTTTAAAAATATATAAAAATCGAATGTCTTTATTCGTACACTAATCAGGAATATACATACATAAATACTTCTCGGGGTCTGTCATAGCAATATCTAGCTTTTATATATAATTTATACACTTCATTTCTCACTTTTCACTGAAATTGAAATTGAAAATGCCCGTCAATTATTATCATTAAGAGGAGAACAGATTTGAAGAAAAAACAC